CCGCACAAGCAAAACCACCTGGCTGACCTAGAGACCCATGAGAAAGAAAAAAAATGGTTTTTTTCAGCTGCCACGTTTGGGGTGGTTTGTTAGACAGCAATAGAGCTCCTACCCACCACTCTGAACTGCCCACTAGGGAGCTCTTTTGTAGACCTGTGGTCAGCTGAATAATTGTCCCTGAAGATGTTCAGGTCTTATTCTCCAGAGCCCATGAATGTTTCTTCATCCAGCAAAAGAGACTCCGCAGACATGATTAAGTTACAGACCTTGACAGAGAGTGATCACCCAGGTGGGCCATAAATACAATCACAACGGTCCTTACAAGCAGGTAGCTGAGGAGACCTGACACGTGTCACGTGAAGCCAAACAGTATGCTGCTGGTTTGGAAGAGGAAGGAAGGGCCATGCTCCAAGGCCTTGTAAGGAGCACAGTTCTATGAGCTGGAAAGCCTCCTCCCCTAGAGTCTCTGGGGACAGTGAGGCCCTGCCAATACCTTGTTTCCATCCAGTAAAGCCGATTTCAGACTTCTGGCCCCCAGAACGACAAGACAATAAATACGTGCTGCTTTGAGCCACCAAGTCCGTGGTCATGTTACAGCAGCAGCCAGAGGAAACTCACACACACATCCATTTTAGGAAAACGGAAATACTAACTCCACTTTTATTGGTGTTGGACTCCATTTCATGAAAACAAAGTTTAATCACTCTCTAGTCTACAAGGGAATGACCCAAGGCCTGGAGGCTAAGGTGAGCACGGGGGTAAACAGACGGTATGCAGCTGGTGCCCATCGACCCATGGGAAGGACATGGGGTAAAAGTCACGGCCAGCACAGGGCAGAGGCCTCAGGAAGCTTCGGGCACTGAGAGTTGACCCAGTCCATGCCGCTCAGACATCCCCGGCCAACTTCTTTTTAAAAACCGCCCTCTCTAAGAATGAAAGAGTCTTTAGAAACCCACAGACTCATTTAAGATAATGGCATCAGTTAGTCTAGTGCCTCCTGGTACAACTTTCTGCACCGTCCCAAATGGCAGCTGCTGGCCATATGTGGTTTTAATCACATGAGAAGTGGCTACCATGACTAAGGCACTGGATTTTTATATTTTACTCAATTTTATTCATTTACATTTGAACGGTGTGATGGTTAATCTTGCGTCAACTCAACTGGGCTCTGGGACACCCCGACTGCTGGTCAAACATCCCTTCTGGTTGTGTCTGCAAGGGCATCTCTGCCTGAGATTAGCATTGAATTCAGTCACCTAGCAGAGCGACCGGACCTCATCAATGTGGACTGCATCGTCCCATCTGGCGAGGGCCCCCACAGAACAGGAAGGCAGAGGAAGGATGAATTCGCACTCTCTTCTTGAGCTGGACATCCATCTTCTGCCCTCGGACGTCGGTGCTCCTGGTTTCCGACCTTCCAACTCCGAGTCCCACCACCAGCTTTCCTAGGGCTCCGTCCTGCAGATGGCAGAGAGAGACAGTGAGACTGGGACTGTTTCTGGAGAACTCTTGCAGAAAGACGTGGTCGCATGGGCCTGGCAGCCTCCACAATGGGCAGGACGGGTTAGTCGGTAGAAGAAGTTCAGGCTCACAGAACCGGGGGACGTCTGTCTGTCCGGTGCGGTCCCCGGTGAGCTGTCGAGGTGGAGCAGATGAGTGGTGTACGGCGGCTCTGCCCTTTACTGCAGGTGGAGCCATCACGAATGAGGGCTCTCGGTCTCCTCATCCACTGGGACCAACATGATCTTCCTCAAGCCGTGAGGATTACAGATAATCTCCATAAGATTCTAAGCACGGCGCTTAAAAATCCAATACAACCAAACATGGAAGCTACCCTGAGTAGAACCAACTTTCCTTTCCATGATTCAAAAGTCACTACCTCAGTTCAGGCAACTACAACAAACTACCCCAGACTGGGGGGCTTTGTAAGCAACAGACATTCATGTCTCACGTTTCTGGAGGTTGGAAATCCAAGATCCAGGAGCCAGCACGGTCAGGCTCTGAGGAGCCTTTCTGGGTTGCTGATGACCGTCGTCTCCCTACTGTAGCCTCGAATGGCAGAGGGAAGCTGAGGGAGCTCTCTCTCACAAGGGCAGGGACCCCACTCACGAGGGCTGCACCCTCAGGACCTAATCGCCTCCCAAAGGCCCCACCTCCTAACAGTGTCACGTCGTGAGTTAGGATTTCCACACAGGAAGGTGAGGGGAGCACTGTCGGACTTGCAAGGCCCCCAAGTAACAGTATCCAGTCAAATGCACCTATCAGCACCGTGCTAGGCTGCAAATGCCCAGAGACTCAAGAATCTGTCTTGAAAACCTGGGCAAGGGTGCATGGGCGGCTCAAAGATTGAGCGTCTGCCTTCAGCTCAGGGCGTGATCCTGGGGTTCTAGGATCAAGTCCCGCATCGGGCTCCCCGCATGGAGCCTGCTTCTCCCTCTGCCTGTGTCTCTGCCTCTCTCTGTGTGTCTCATGAATAAATAAAAAAATATTCTAAAAAAAAGAAGAGAAAGAAAAGGAAAGGAAAGAGAAAAGAAAGAAAAGAAAAAAAGAAAGGAAAAGAAAAGAAAAGAAAAGAAAAAAGAAAGGAGAAAAGAAAAGAAAAGAAAAGAAAAGAAAAGAAAAAAAAGAAAAGAAAAGAAAAGAAAGAAAAGAAAAAAGAGAAGAAAACCTGGGCAAGCCAGCTTTGCTGTGCATGGCCTTTGCTCTGCCTCAGCCCGCCCTACTGTGGGGGCACAGGACCACTCAGGCCCAGACCAGATCACGAGGGCAGGGAGTGGCTACCACACCACGGTGACCACAAGGCTCAGGATAAAGGGCTGGTGCCTGATGCTCAGGAGCTGCGGCCAGTGTCTGACACAAACCGGGGGCTGCAGGGGTGGCTGAGCTGCCTCTGCAGTCCCCAGCTGGGGCCCCGAAGCCCAAGGCCTGGCTGCAGCTTCCTCTTCTCAGCATTTCTCCTCCCAAAGCACTCTGGCTGAGGCACCCTCGACGGAGAGGCCCTCTGGGTCTCTGCTCTGGAGGTGGGACCACGGGCACCTGCTATGCATCCGAGAGCTGGGTACAGAGGGTGTGTTCACCTGTGGCTGCTGACTCACCGGTCACTGACTCCTGCACAGATGTGTCCACAGCACGGCCCTGGCTGTCACCACAGAGAAGATTCCGGGCTGTGCCCACCACCCTCCCCCGCCCAGAATCAGTAACTATGTGGCAGCGTTTGCCTTCCATGGGGATGTGTTACATCGGAGACCTCAAAGCTCTTTCCAAACCCTTTCTCTTTAACCTTCCCCAACAGCTTGGGAGAGGGTGACGATGATGCTTCTTTAGTCTCCTCTCAGGTCCCAGAAACCTGAAGACGTATCAGTGTCAACGTTGCCCAAACTCACAGAGCAAAGTCAAGTTCACAGTTACGGCGCAATCCCAATGTTAAAACCAACAATAATCAGGGCAGCAAATAACTACTGGGAGCTGGCATGTGTCAGGCATGTGCCATGTGTCACCCTGTTTGACTGTGACCACAGCGCAGGGGGCAAATATCACCACGACCTCCACCCGACAGGTGACCTGAGGATCAGGGAGGCAGAGGGACTGGCCCAAGCTCTCGGCGCTGCTAAGGACGGGAGCCAGGCCTCAAACTGCCATCAGTGAACGCACCCAGCCTGTGCCTTCCTCCCCACGCGGCTGTGGCCGAGCAGCAGCCCCCGGCTCTGCCTGCCTTCAAGCCGAAGGCCACTGACCTGGGCCAGGACGCCAACCAGGCAATGCAGTGCTGGTGCTGGAGGGGAGGGAGCTCCCAGGATGACAGCAGCCCTGCTGAGACTCTGAGTCTGGGGCCCAGGAGGACGACCAAGTTGGGGGCTGGTCATGAAGCAGGGCTCTGCTCTGGAGCCCAGTGGGAGCGGAGGCCCCGGAGGGACGCTGGGAAGAGGCAGGCCAAGGAGAAAGCGGGGCCCACAGAGAGGAGAGGGAGGCAGGGGGTGAAGGCACAGAGGAGGTGCGTGCACAGCCTGGGAGGCACTCATGGTGCCCAGGGTGGGAATCAGAGGGATCGGCGTCTCCCCGAGGACGCGTCCCTGCCATCTCCAGATGGTCACTCAGCCTGCCTGGGGGCTGCTCCCTCACAGGGAAGCTCACACAGCCAGAAACAGGCTCCTGAGGTGAGGTGGCATCAGGGTCCACCAGAGCCCTCGGCCTCCCGGAGCACAAAGCACGCTTCTCCACCCTCCCCAGGCGCCACATCTGCCACCTATTGCCCCAGACGATGCATGATCCTCCTTTCCCTCTTTTACTCAGTTCTGAGTCATCCCTACCCTGTGGTCTAACACTGGTTCCCCCGAGCATGGTCATTCACCCATCTGGCCTGCCCCCCCCACGTCCCCACGGCCACGTGGCGAGCTACCCCCCTGGCATCCCTGTGTCTGGCTTCCAGGCAGGGGCTAAGCATTTAAGAGGGTGAGAGCGAGACACACACCAGGGGCAAGTGGAGAGCCACAAATCTACGGATTATTATCCTGGTAAGAAAAGGAAGGGGCTGGGAATTGATAAGAAAGCGTTCCCCAAACAGTAACCATGACAACCAACAGCACGAGAGGGATTTTATGCCTCCTCCAAGTTTTATGAGGCACACAACACAGCTCTTTTATGGACTCTGGCATTAATTATGCTCATCATAGGACAGAGCACACTGAAACGGCGAAGGTTCCTCACCCATGGGGCTTCCCTAAATTCATGTACGTTGCCCATAAAAGTTTAAGGAAGTAATTAGGAAGATTCCCACTTGGGCCGCTTTATTATTTAAAAATTGATAAGACAAGGTATTAAGGTCAAAATATCAGTTTAAACAACAGACGGGAACAGGAAGAGGAGGGGGACTGTGGAATTTTAGGCAGAACAGAATATCGACTCAAAGCAATGATGAATTTCCTATCAGATAATGACACACACTTAGAAATACTTATGAGGAGGGGGAAATATTTTGACTTGAGACTCAAAACGACAGCAGATGGTGATGCGAGCGCCGAGCGATGTGTCCGGGGTGCACTCGCTCAGAAACAGGGTGGAAGGCCCGCGGTCCCCCTGAGGCTCCCTACCTCCCGGCAGCGCTCATTTCCACGGTCTTCCCCGGGCTCCGCTCTGATGAAATCAGCCGCCGACGCTGCTGGAACAACACCTCTTGTCCTAAGAGCCCAACGTTCAGGGTTTTCTGCAAGAAGAAAGGCATACACAGTTGCACCCCCTGAACTTTGTGCTGTGATGAAGTCACACTAAGGCCATTCCACCCTCTCAGGGCGTAGAGATTAAAACAGAGACGTGCTCCATGTCCACAGGCCTGCCTTTGGGCGAGCTTGCCACGAGCCCCACGCATACAGAGTCACTTCTCGGGTACACAGGACTTCTGCCTGGACACAGCAGATCAAACACTCGCTGCTTCCTCTGTTCCTGCCCCAAGCCCATGAAGATGACAGTGAAAGAATCAAAAGGAACAGCCCCCACGAGGACAAAGACAAGATAGATGGGGAGGCCGGCAGCACTGAGGGGCCAAAAGACAGGCTGGCGAGAGCTACTGACTTTGCAGAGGGGAGGAGGCTGAAGTCAAAGCCTTTCTGGGGAGAGGTGGGGGTGCAGTCAGGAATCCCAAAGTATGGGACCGGGAAGCCCCACTATTCTGAGGAGCACAGATGGACCTTCAGATTGGAGGTGTCATGAAAGGTCTCTTGAGGAGCAGCTCCGGACCCTCCGGGCCCAGGTCTAACAAACCCCTGCCCCCACCCTCCAGGAGAACACAAGAGATGCCTTCTGAGGAGAAGAATCACAGAGGCTTTAGATTCCAGGATTTGTGGCCCACCTGGAAATAGGGGCAAAATAAGGCACAAAAACAAGAGCATTAAGTAAAAGCCAATGTTCAGCCTGAGGCCTCTGGCACCTCCACCCTGGGCTCACAGAGTGCGGAGAGCCAGCTTATATCCCACGTTATAGACTTAACTGTGTCCCCCCAAATCCATACACAGAAGACTTGACCTCCTATTTGATATTTGTTTTTTTGTCTTAATTTTTTTTTTCCCTATTTGATATTTGGAGAGGGACTGTGACAGAGGTGGTTATGGGTAAATGTGCTCCTGAGGGTGGAGCTCTGACACCACAGGACTCATGTACTCATAACAGGAGGCAGAGACACCAGTGATGTGGGCCCAGAGAGAAAAGACCACATGAGGACACAGCACAAGGTGGCTGTCCATGAGCCGAGGAGGGAGCCCCTGGGAGAAACCAACCTGCTGGTACCTTGATCTTGGACTTCCAGCCTCTAGGATGGCAAGGAAGTAAGCATCTGTTGTTATGCTACCCCATCTGCAATGTTTTGTTATACCAGCTCTAGCAAACTCATACGCCCCGTGAGCAGGAGATGAAGTGTTCCTTTCTAGGAAACACCTGCTCAGGAGGGAAAACTCACAAACAGGCACAACTGCAGATTCCCAATAAAGCAAGCAGATTCCAGCAATGGTCCACAGGGAACCACCAGTCAGAGAGTGCCACCTGCACAAAGCTCCAACCAGCTTCTTGGGGCCTCTCTCTTCAAAACCAGTGGGCAGTCACGAACCACCAGGCCAACGAGAAAAGGCTATGGGCATGAAACCAGCCCAATGAAAGAAAAGTAAGCTCAGAGGCAGCAGGCACAATGCAGGGATCCAAAGAGACATACTGTGGGGTAAAACCAATAATCTGTATCCTCAGAAGGGAGAGGGAGATGGTGCATCCACAAAAGAAGAACAGGTATGCATAAAACAAGAACATTTAGGTCACGAGAGAGCACTCTAACAACTTATAAGCATAAGAGCAGAATTAAGGGAAAATCCCTAAAGTTTTGAAAGATAAAATTAAGGATGTATTCCCAAAGGGTGTACCACAACAAAACACAGTGATAGAAAATGGGAGTTAAGAAATCGGATGATTCATCCAAGAGGCCCAATATTTGAATGATAGGAATTCCTGAAAGAGAGGACAGGAAAAAAAAAAAAAACAAGAAGAAATTATCAAATAGCATAAGTCAATGGAAAGTCAAAAACAACCCAAAAATGTAAGTAGTCATATATGCCATTGTTTAGATACATCGGCTTAAATTTCAGAAGAAAGAGCTAAAAGGTGACGGTTTTCTGTAGGGACAAGAATCTAAAGAGAGAGAAGGGGTAGTGCTATTGACTTTCACACTGCATATATTCACTACCTTGGCTAAAAAGTCAAAAATTATTGAAAAAATGAAACATTACAAATCAATCTAAAGTTCCTTTCCTAAGAAAAGTCTTTTTCTGGTTTCATGCTTTTACATGAGCACCTACAGAAACCATCTGTTATTATTTTTATTTAACTTGTACACAATTGATGCATCAATTTTTAACTTCCTTTTTAATTTTATTATTTATTTATTTATTTAGTTAGTTAGTTAGTTATTTTAAAGATTTTATTTATTTATTCATGAGAGACACACAGAGAGACACAGGCAGAGGGAGAAGCAGGCTCTCTGGGGGAGCCCGATGTGGGACTTGATCCCAGGACCCCGGGATCATGACCTGAGCCAAAGGCGGACACTCAACCACTGGGCCACCCAGGCACCCCCTCATTTTTTAATTTCCAGTGGAGCTCCATGATACTGGATCGTTCTCACTCGTGGACCCCTGAAGCAAAGCCTCCCCAGACACTTGGGTTCTTTGGGAGCTTTGCATGACAGCTGGAAATGAGAGCGGCCCAGCCACAGACTGGGGACAACTCACCGACACAGCCCTGCCTCCAGGAGGGAAGAGAGTGTGAGTCCAGAGAGGAGCTTTGAGGACTCCTGCAGGCCATCGCTTTCAGGGCCACACTCACCGAATCCATCCCTTCTGTGCTCTCCCTGCTCTGATGACAAAGCTTTAAACCCGAGCCAGCTTCCTGCCCACCTGTCTTCATAAACATGGCTTTTATTTTTATAGTCTTTGGGGCATGTGCTATTTCATATTATTCACACCATCATAATTCTGTATTAAACTCTGGTTGAAGAAAGGCCCAGCTGGTGATAAAGACAAACAAATAAAATAATATTGAGAACCACAATGAAAGAGAAACAGAAAAAAGAATCCTCGACTCTGGACTTTGAGGATTAAATACGGATAATAATAGTCTGTATCCCTACGACACACTTCTGTTCACACACCCCAAAAGTACGGAGAGCTGTGATTCAGGGGCCTGTAGGAGCGGGGCTGGGGGCTCCATGAGAGCTGAGCCCAGGAGCTGAAGGTCTGCACCCAACTGACTCCACCACCAGACCCCAGGCTGTTAGAAACTCTGTTCCCTGTTAGGGACTCAACAGTTGCAATGGACTCAAATGGGTCATGCTTGAAACTTATGAAAACCAATCAAAAACATAAGGTAAGGAAAAAGTCAATATGGAGCCAAGGCCTAAATATTATGTCCAATGGCATAAAGTCCTGGCAGCCTCTAAGGACCAGAGAATTTGGGAATTTATAGGACTCCACGCTTATAACCACCCTCCTCATTTGCATGTATTTGCTGGAGTTGGGTGGCAATACCCTAGTTAGGCCGTAGGTCCCCATTCAACATATTGAACTTCTTTATTTCAAGGAGTTTTGCATATATTTTCCTAGTTAATCCATCTTTAGGTTAAATATTCTATTTTCTGAGTGTAGTAGATTGAAAAATGTCACCCCTCAAAAAAAAAAATCTATGTCCCCCGGAACCAAAGAATGTGATATTATCTGGAAATAGGGTCTTTGTAGGTATTTAGTTAAGACGAGGCCAGACCGGATTATAAGAGAAGAGGACACACACACAGGGAAGATGGCCATGTGACAACAGAGGCAGGGAAGGGGTGATGTGGCCACAAGTCAAGAAACATCAGAAGCTACCAGAAGCTGGAAGGGTCAGGAAGGCTCCTCCCCTAGAGCTTCTGGAGGGAGTGCAGCCCTGCTGACACTTGACTTTGGACTTCTGGCCTCCAGACTGTGACAGGATAAAGTTGGTGTTTTAAGCATCCCCCTCATTTGTGGTGTTTTACAGCAGCCCCAGAAAGAGAAGATGTATAATTTCATGAAAACATAAAAGGGAAGAATCGGGCTTCTATAAACTCGCCACATGATCTATGTTAAGCAAGCAGACCATCAACTGCTTTCTACTAGCACAACCATCTTTAGGAACAGACAGCCGGCACGTCCCTCACCTGTGCGTGGGACAGCAGGTGTGAAGGCGACTGTGAACTGGCCTTCATCCTCCGGAGGATGCGGACCAACCTGCCGCCCCAACACCAGCCCTCCCGTCCGTCCTGCGTGGCACATAGGGCACGGCCGAAGCTGTCACTCAAGTGCTCCCCACGCTGCTGGGAACGCTCACAAGAAAAATACTTTACTCTTCAGGAAGATGTCCACTTAATAATGGGAAACTACAGGTTGGTGCCTGTCAAAATTATTTCCTTTGGGCTTCATTATATATTTCTCTGCTTCATTTGAAGGCTCAGGGAACTTGGTGTAAGATGACCCTACTTCCCCTCTAAAATCTATGTGGCCACATCAAAGTTAGAATTACTTTTCCAAAGATCTCACTGCATTTCTGGCTTCCCTCGGCTTTATTAATAATGCATCAGGCAAGCACATGACTTCCCTCCCGGTTTTATTTCCTAACTTGAATAATTTGGAAATAACACCGGGACCTTTCGGCTGGACACTCCAAAAGTGATGTGTAAGTAGAGGCTTACAGCAAAGCCATGCACACATCTCCCAGGGTCCCCACGGGGCGGATTTTGAACTCGGCAGTTGTACAAGCACCATATAGATACACGTACACACACGTGTACGGACACACATGCGTGCACATGTAAAAGAAGAGGCTTCCAAACACGCTGCTACACACCCTCACTTCAAATAAAAGGGCGCTGCTCCTGAGTTGATTTTGACAGTTGATGGAGTAGGATAAAGCCTCCACCACTTAGGCTTAGCAGCCTAAGCTCCTTGTGCTGCTCAAGGACCATGTGACCTTGAGAAAGTACTTTGACCTCTCTGGGCCCCTGCTGCTCATCTGTAAATACAGGTAACATCACCCCCCTCAACATGTTGCTGGAAAAGTCGACCTGGACCCGGGACGTGGCGCCCCCACCAAGTAGGGCTCAGCCAGAGCTACACCCTATCCCTCTTCCCAACACCTCCTCAGTCAAATTTTTCCTTT